TGCGTGCGTGCGTGCGTGCTTGCGTGCGTGCGTGCGTGCGTGCTTGCGTGCGTGCGTGCGTGCGTGCGTGCGTGCGTGTGTGTGTGTGTGTGTGTGTGTGTGTGTGTGTGTGTGTGTGTGTGTGTGTGTGAGAGAGAGAGAGAGAGAGTGTGTGTGTATGTATGTATGTAGGTGAATGTGTATATTACACGACAACCTCTAAAAGACTTTCTGTTTTTGTATAGGTTTGCTTAAGGAGCCACTTGAAAATAGTGTTTTTGCACTCATATTGATTTCGAGAAAAAAGGGATAACGTTTTATGCAATTTATTATATAAATAGGGGCCAAGAAATATGAAGAACCTATGACTAAATGCAGTTTTAACTTGAGTAGACTTTGCAACTAGTTGGTTACGTCGTGTCCATTCAGGGATATATTTGGTTGAGGCATGTTTTTTGAGAGCGGTGGTTAAAATGAATAATTGTCTAACTGTTAGTACTTGGCAATAGTCGTAAAGTTGGTCTGTAGGAAACATACGCGGTTTAAAACAACATACTTTTAAAACAGCTCTCTGTGCCCGTTCAAGTTGAATAAAATTACTTTTAGCCGCACCACCCCACGTGGATATGCAATAAGATAAAATGGATTGACACAATGCCATATCATGATTTCTGAATCTGCAGATTGACGTAATTGTTTAAAAATGTAGATAAGTTTACGGACTCTGTTTGACAGGTGTTCAATGTAAGGTTTAAATGTGAGGTTATTATCAATTATAATTCCAAGATATTTTATAGATGTCACTTTTTTTATATAGTGTAGGTCATTATTGGCTGTACTATTTCTTATATCGAGGGGAGGCTTAACAGCGATTTGTAATGAGTTTGTTGTTGAATTTTTTGTGTTTCGAATAGAAAAGTCTATTAATTTTGTTTTATCTATGTTCAACGTGAGTAAATGCGCGTTTAACCATTTCTGTACAATGTCAAACCCATTTTGAGCAAGGGAATAGGTTTCAGTCCAAGTGTTCGAATGAAACACAAGTGCAGTGTCATCTGCGTAGGAAAAGATCATCCCGTTTAAAAGATTGATGTTACACAAGTCATTTATATATACTAAAAACAGACTTGGGCCGAGAATACTTCCCTGCGGTACACCGTATGTAATTTACAGGTCAGAACTGCTATAGGGACCAATCCTAACACATTGAGTTCTATTACTTAAATAACTTTGGAGTAAAGATAACTGAATTCCTCTTACTCCTAAAGATTGAAGCATTGAAATTAGGATAGGTATCGAAACAGTATCAAACGCCTTTGTAAGGTCAAGAAACAAGGCAATACATTTTTGACGTATGTCTAGATTCCTGACTACAAAATCAATAAGGCTGTGGACAGCATCAGATGTACACAATTTTTTTCGAAAACCAAATTGATTTTTAGAGAGCAGATTATTAGTCTCTAAATAATTAACAAGCCTTGTGTTAATTATTTTCTCGAGGATCTTCGACATCGTAGGCAAGACTGATATAGGTCTGTAGTTTTCGATACTATTTCGATCGCCGGATTTAAAAATAGGGTGAATTATTGCCTTTTTAAACAAATCAGGGAAAATACCTGTCTGGAGACTCAAATTACAAATATATGTAAGAGGTGAAATAATACCATTTTTGTGCTTCTTTAAGAATTCTGAAGAAATACCATCCCAACCAGTTGTTCGGTTGTTATCCAAAGACATAATCAAGCATTTGACTTCGCTCTCATCAGTTTCAAGCAAAACAAAGGATTTAGAATAAGTAACGGATGCCGGTAATATTGCCAAGCCTCTTTCTAATTTGTCTGCCAGTGATTTTCCTATATTTGAAAAATATGTGTTTATATCCTCAACAGATTTTTGAGTATTAATTTCGTTGATGTCTAGGAGATCAGACGCCGTTGATTGCTGTTTAGATAAATTTGTAACAGATTGAATGACTTTCCACAGTTGTTTGGAGTTTTTGCCGGCTCTTTGAAATTCCAGCTTCTCATAATTACTTTTTGCATTTCGCAGGAGGTTGGTACAGAAGTTGCGATATCTTTTATAAGTAATTCTAAGAATCTGGTTTGATGGGTCTTTTTTAGATTTTTTATATAATTTATCTCTGTTTCGCATGCATTTCAACAAAGCCAGAGTGATCCAAGGCTTAATAGGTCTACGTCTACAAGACAGAACCAAAGTTTTGGTATTGTTGGCTATAGCTGAAATAATAGGTTCAACCAAGAATTTAACAGCTAAGTTAGGGTCATTCGTTGTGTATACTGAGTTAAAGTTAATACAGCGTAATTCTTGAATAAGCTTATCTTCATTTATTTTTTTTATAAATTTACGATTACATAATTTCGTTTTAATTTTTGAGAGGGCAAACATAACGGCAAAGTGGTCTGTTACAGTAGTTTCCAGAACTAGAACCTAGCGGAGAAAGCAGTTTTTAAATTAACGTGATCAAGACTGGTAGAACCATGAGTTGGGAAGTTGTGACCAGGAAAAAGTCCATGATGAACAAGTAGATCAAGATAATCTAAGTTATATACGTGGTAGAGCCATGCTGCAGCTATATTATAGTTGTAGCACGAATGGGTCGGCTCGACCGGGGAAGGACCACGCTCTCACAGAATACCAGCGTAAAATAGCAGTTTAACGCTGCTGTGTTTCGTATGGTGAGTGTAGAGAACCGGAGACCCTTTTTACTGGAAACGAGGCATTCCATCTTAGTCCTCACGGGTGACAACGCATCTGCATTTTGATTCTTAATCGAAGTTAGATGTAGATGTCTATGGGCCACAGCAGCCACTTACCATCAGGTGGTCTGTGTGCTCGTTTGTCACCCTTATCCTATAAAAAAAAAAGTAATTATAGAATGAAACCCGTTGGCAATATCAATATTAATGTCTCCTACAAGAATAATGGTTTGGTATGATTTAAGATCCGTGAGGACAAGATCCAAAGACTGAAAGAATTTTGAAGGATCAACAAAAGCGTGTGGTCTATATATAGCAACAATAGCCAGATCTACACCTATAGTAATCACCAGACAGTTACATTCAAATGTTATAGGTTCTTTTACTTTAATATTAGCTAAACAAGACTTGATATATACAATAACACCGTCATTTTTATTGTAGTTTTTTGAAGTTTTATAATGATTGTATCCATTGAGAATCGGAATTATAGGATTACAAGATAGCCAGCATTCAGAGAGAACGATAATGTCGCAGCTATAATTAATTCTTTCTAACAACGTTAAAAGCCCGGAAAAATTAGCGTTGATGCTACGAATATTTTGAGACAAAACAGTGAGACAACTATGATAAGACGTAAGCAAATCAGCACATTTTTCGGGATCACATAATATTGCTTTATTAAAGGAAGTATTATCAAGATTAATTAATAGGTCATTTAATGGAGCGCCTTTTAGTTATGTTTTTAAATAGGTAGCATAAACAAGATTTTAACTTGTATTCGAAAATAAAAATAATTAAGCATATTAAATATATCCATGAATGTGTGCAAAGAGCAAATATTATGTAATTGGTGAGAGCGTTAATTTGGTTTGAGAGTTGAATGTGCATGTTTTTTTGTGTGGGGTCATAAAAATAGTCGAGCATGTATATATTATTTGTTTGTAAATATTTTGTGGGTTGATGTGTTAGTATTTTATACAATAGTATATTATAAAAGTAAACAGTGGGTAGTTTAGAATACAAATAGAATAATTTAGTAAACATAAAGCCAGAGACACACTTAGTTAGACATGCAAGCAATTCACAAGAAATCATAATTAAAAAGGTAATGCATAATATTATAAATGTACCTAGTCATATTATATTTTTTAGATTTGTAATATCATTTTCATTTTTTATTTCTATCCGAGCGCTACCTTCAGTTTTCCGCAAATAAATTCGGCCCTTATTTGTCCAGCAATAACGGTAATTCATTGTCTTAGCTGTATCACGTGCTAAAATATAAAGTTTTCAGTCCTTCTTTGTTAAACTTTCAGATATATATATCGGCATTGTGGAACTAGAAAGACCAATAGATTTTGAGGAGAGTTTATTATTAATGTTAATTTTATTAAAATCTTTCGCTCCACTTAATATCTTATTTTTTGACAGTACCGAAGTTAATTCGGTGATGACAGTAGACACACCGGCTTTGGTTTTAATTCTGTATATATCTTTTATCTCGGATGGGTGAAAATTAACATTTAAAGCATCGCAAATCCTTTGAACCAGATCACCTAAGTCTTGTTGTGTCTCTTGCTTTATGTTTTGTGCTGGAGTAGGTAAATTACGGAACTCGATGACTGTGGACTTAAGCCTTTTCTGCATGTCTTCTAATCTATTTTCCAGACTCAATATATAATTATAATTTTCCTTTCGTTCGCGTTCTAAATTGATAATTTTAGTGTTCATATCTTCATACTGTGTGGATATGAACGTTAACGCCTTTTCCATTTCAATATTAGTTGACTGAATGTTGGCGTTTTGTTGCTTAAGTTCGGCAATATCTGAACACAATTTACTCAAAATAAGATCTTGATCCTTCTTCCAATTGGTGAGCATGGATAATAGTTCATCTTTAAGGGAGTCATCAATACCTTTCCTTTGATCTTCATTTTTGGGTTTTTTCTGTCTCCTCCCTACATAATTCAGTGGATTTTCAGGTTCAATGTTTGAAATATCACTCTCCGACGACACTTGATGCACTTTACTTCCTGGGGGTGATCTACGTATTATCGACATAATGATCTTTTATTTAAGTTCGTAGTTTTCGTTGTGACAGAAGTACACTATAGGTTAGTTGTTGAGAGAACAAAAGACGACACGTGGTCAGCCAATGCGCAAAAAAGACAAAAGTACTACGATACACACACAGTCACGGATAGACACCACATTGATTATATGAACTCCTAGTACTTCGCTGTTAATTACAGTTGACGGTTTATTTAAAAGGAATATTTAATTTGTGTAACTAACACACGTCTAATAGCAACCACCGCCAGAGGCAGAGATGATATGAATGTATGATGATGATGATGATTCTTGAGAACGGTTTCTTTTCCTGTAACATTTCTTTGATTTCGATTGCCGCTCTTCATTAATAGCTATTCTATTTGGTGGTAAATCGTGAAGCTGCTCCTTTCGGTTGTAATAATTTAGTGTAAATTTATCCACATCCTGTGCATAGTAATACGGATTAGTGATAGGATTAGAATCTTGGTGTTCCTCAGTGTTGGCCATGATCTGCAATTATCAAAAACAAGTATGAAGTCAAAAAAAGGTAATGGCGGCTGTTACCGCCATTTCTCAAATTAAAATATTCCGCGTTTTGGTCAATCTTATTGATGAATCAGATTTCCTCTATAATACCTTCATTTATTCCACTAATTCCTTCTTGCGACCGACAATCGGGTAGAATGAGAAGTCTAAGTAAGAACACGCCCGCACGCGGAAACATATTGTGTCACGCTCGCTACTCGCATATCTGTTTAATTATCATACGCTTAAAATCACGGCCGTGAATTGTATAAAATAAGTGTAAATCGCGCAAGAAAACTAGGAGTGTACCACGCGAGTGTCAACCTCAAGTAAGAAAAGAAGCTGACGGCGTTTTCCAGGTGCGTACCTTCAGTTTTATGTGTCGGTTGCAAATTTCAACGAAATCCAATTCCAACTACCTATTACAGTCCACTTTATTCCAATTTTGAACCACGCGTCACCATTTTGGTCACTTCGCCCGGATTAAAATCTTTTCAATTCGATTACCATTTTTGCCACTTCGTTGGAATATTCCTTTGCAGAATAGGCATAATTAAAACCATATATATATATGCTTAGAAACATTTAAATATAATATTTTACTTAATTTATTTACGCATTATATATTTATTACATTGATTTAAAGCCGTATATTCATCGCTATTATATAACTTACCGCAATACATAATACAATGTCTACATACCCGCTCGCTCACGGAGAAATTTAGATCAGTTTAATAAATCTACCTGATATTTCCGCGATAGATTAAGTGTTTAGGACGCTTTAATTATTAATGTATTTGTCCATCGCTCGCCAGTTAAATTTAAAACTTTACTTATAACCTTAATATTTCCTATATATATTTATTATAAAAATGTCAAAAATTAGCACGTCAAAAACGAATGAATCTAGGACCGAAACGCCAGACCCCAAATTAATGATGTTATTGAATATAGCTATAGCTAGGCGCAATTCTTTATTTAACCGCTTACAAACAATTTATGATCGCTCTAAATAAGTAGATAGTGAGGTGGACAGGGAAGAGTTCCTTTCTGGAGCGATTTCGATTGATGCATTACGAAGTGATTTCGAAAGGGTATTAACCGAGTACAATTTATATAATATGCAAGTCTACCCAGAAGCAAAGGTGGAATATCAGTCATGGGTTGCGTTCGAGGAACTATACTGTCATATAAAACGTGTAATGTCTCGTCTTACAGGTCGAATAACAAATGAATGTCCGAGATCGGCCACAATATCGCGACCGTCTTTACCGCCTATAGAGCTAGCGTCGTTTGATGGTGATATCCGCTCATGGTCTTTATTTTATGCAATTTTTAAATCCACTGTGCATGATAACCCGTCCCTATCAGACGCCGATAAATTGTATTACCTGCTAGGTAAATTAACAATCAAAACGCATTCTGTGTTCGCCGGTATTACTCCTTGTGCTGAGAATTATGAACTTATTTTGAACGCGCTTATAGAGAAGTACGATGATAAACGCATGCTAGCATCGACCTATATCAATCTAATTTTTGACTTTGAACCAGTTTCTAACTCTTCTGCTCGAAACTTAGAATTATTTTTACATACGTTCGTAACCGCGGTTACCGCGTTAAAAAACTTACAAATACCTGACTTAACTGATTTTATTATATTACATACCGCCTTAAAAAAGTTAGACCCCGAAACAGTTCGTTCTTTTGAAATGCATTCTCGAAAGGATAAAATACCTAATTTTAAAGGTTTAACCGATTATGTAAAGGAACAAGTTAATATATTACAGCGCTCTTATCATTCGAGTTTGACCTCGAATTCGAACCCGAATCACCGACCCACCGTAAAAGTTCCACAACCGCAATCTTATGTCGCTATGGCCGATACATACAAATGTTTGTGTGTTTACCTCTACTGGAGAGAATTGGGGTCTTCAGCGGCATGTAGCTCAAGCGATGCGAGAACAAGTGACGCAGAAGCGCCAATTCACACCTACTCGAATGGGTCGGCTCGACCGAGGAAGGACCATGCTCTCACAGAATACCAGCGTAAAATAGCAGCTTAACGCTGCCGTGCTTCGTATGATGAGTGTAGAGAACCGGAGACCCTTTTTACTGGAAAAGAGGCATTCCATCTTAGTCCTCAATGGTGACAACGCATCTGCATTTTCATTTGCAAACGAGGATAGATGTAGATGTCTATGGACCATAGCAACCATTTACCATCAGGTGGACTGTGTGCTCGTTTATCACCCTATCCTATAAAAATGATTTTGAACTAAAGCTGATGATTAAGTTAATCTTCAGCAACTTTTTCAAGTTTTTAAATTATTAACACGATTGAAATAACGTTAGTTCATTAAAACCTATCAGCCAATACGGACAAGTTAACAAACCTGTTATGAAAATTCTCAAACAAAAAGAATCACTTAAATTAGAATGTATCTGTCCTGCACCAAAAATGAGGTTAAACGTCATGAGAGCTTACTGCCAAATACGATAGGTAGTATTGTATGCGGTCCATCGAATTGCGGAAAAACTAACTTAGTTATCAGCTTAATGTTACATCAGAATGGACCGCGTTTTCGCAACCTTTATGTACTTAGTCAGGTCGTAAGTTCTGTCAAAAATTTTTTATAAAATTAATGATACAGTTTATGATAATTATATAGAAATTATATATTAAATGAAAGGTAATTTAATTTAGAATACAATTTTATTTACATTATTCTAAATGCCCTCCCCTATTTTGAATACATGCCCTTAATCGACGCGGCCAATCATCAATCGCAGCACTCACCACATTCATATCTATTTCTGCCGCTGCTTTAGCCAAAGATGGTCTGAGAGATTCCAAATTCTGATGAGGTTTAGCGCAGACTTTCTCCTCCAAATGTTGCCATATCTTGTAATCCAGAGGATTTAAATCTGGACTAGAAGAGGGCCAGTCTTCATGTCCGATAAAGTCAATTCCACGGGCGGTCAACCAGTTTTGCGTGCTTCGTGCCCTATGAGCTGGTGCAGAGTCCTGTTGGAATATCCAATGTCTGTTTTTGAACATAGTTTGAGAAAGAGGTTCTACTATGTTTGTTAGGACGGTATTATGGTACACCTAGGCACTGGTTTTCATACCTTTTTCACAGAAAAACACCTCAGTTAAGCCTGAATATGATACTCCAAGCCAAACCATGAGTGACGAAGGATAATATCCTCGTTGAATCCTCGGAATACGCGTGCTGGCTTCTTCACTGCTGTGGACATACATCTTATCAGTTTTTTTTATTATAACTTTCTTCGATGATAAAAATTTTTTCATCCGAAAACATAATTTCGCGGTATACTTTTCCATGTACCGCCGTAAAAAAGCGCGGGATCTATCCAGCCTAATTTATTTCAAACGCTCGTTCAAAAAATGTCCGGTCGTCTTATGATAAGCTCGTAGTCCTAGGTCTTCATTGATCACTCTTTTGACCGTGGTTCTGCTTAGGCCTATCTGAAGAGCTAAGATTTTTTGTTTACGAACAGGATTTCGTTGGATTCGCGCCTTCACTGCTTTGATGATCACGGGTGTCCTAACTGTACGAGGTCGGCCGGTCCTCTTACAATCTTCGAAGCTTGAATCTTCAGTGAATCATCTGATAGTGCGATAAACAAATCGTAGAGTTCTTTTAAATTTTTGTAGAATTTTGAAAATCTCTTTTGGCGCGTAACCACAGCGGTGCAACGCGATAACCGCTACTCTACTTCTCTCTTTGACCACTCCATATTTGAAAATGAATGAAAATTAATGTCTTTTTTATTTTCGGCAACCGCAAGCGTTATATTTTTAAAATTGGTGAAGTTCATGTAGCCAGTATTCAAAAATTTTAAATAATAAGGTTTTGACAGAACTTATGATCCGACTAAGTATATTTAAAGTCTTTATATCAACCTAAATACTTATTTTTAGAAAAATTACTGCAGAATGTGGAAGGTATATCTTATTACAAGTATAATCATAATAGTGAAATTTTGAGTCCACACGAAGCTTCGCCTAACTCAATTATAATATTCGACGATGTAGCCTGTGAAAATCAGAACAACATAGGCTAATCGCCCATGGGTCGACATAAGAACATTGACTGTTTTTATATTAATCAAACGTATACTAAGATACCTAAGCAACTAGTTAGAGATAACGCTAACCTGATCATATTGTTTAAAAAAGATGACGTAAATCTGAGACACATTTATAACGAGCATATAGTAGGGTCTTACATGACATGGTCTCAGTTCCGGGAAATGTGTTCAACTATGTGGAGTAAACCTTTCAATTATATTGTTATAAATAAAGACTGTGAACGAAATAAAGGTTGTTACAAAATGAAGTTTGATACATTCATAATTACCTAATTAACATACACAACATAATTACATAAATACATAACATAATTTTAAACTAACGTTAAAATAGCTGCTATGTCACAAAGCAATCAGTTTCTGCTGAGTAGTCAAACATAGTACAATTCCTTTACAATGGAGTGAGACCTCAAGAAACAAATTGTAAAATCTGCTGCAGCTGTAAAAAGAAAGGTAGAAATGATAAAAGATGAATAAACTACAAACAGTCTGGCTTTGGAAACAATATTTAAGCCTATCGTTGATCCGCTTAATATGCTTTCTAGAAAAACAGAAGAAAAGCAGCATTTAAATGAAGAGACAGACCAAGCTCACCTTATTAAAATACCTAAGTACAGCACAAGTGAGTCATCGATTTCTTCAAGTGATGTGTTTGAAGATCCTGTTAATAATGAAGAAAACTCAGATAACAATGTTTATACAACATCCCATAAAACCCTCACTCACTCGCTTCCTGCTGATGATAATGATGCGAATGAAATTTCGTTTAAATCACATCAATCAACACTAAGTATTGCAAATGATTCATTATCATGAACTATATCATCTGAACTACTAAAAGATGTGCCTTATGGTGTCAGAAATGAACGTGGGAAACTAATGCTCGGCACATTTCGTGTCTATGATGATGATCACATCTTAAAAATTGGAAATCATAGTTTGAAAAAAAACTCCAGGCTTATTTTTTTTATTTATGAAGATATACAAACAAATTTACAAAGGTATTTATAAAAGTGTGGCTGGTGGAAGGTAAATGGGAGATCTCCCGGCGGGCAAGGTGTTCTGCCCGAGGAGCGGCCAACTGGTAACACAGCGGTTTACAATGAAATTTATGCAATAATCGAAGAATTGCATGAAACTGGCATCATAAAGGACATGAAATATATTAAGCTGCCTACAGGACGACTACGCAGTACCATTTAATTACAGAAGTCGATAAGATGGCTATGAATATAGACAAATTTGGTCATCATGTTCATAAGCGTTTACAACTATCTGAATGCTCTGATATTCTCAGTGACGCTTTAGTAAGAACAGACACAGGTGATTTTGATTTGAAATCAACAATATTAAAAGGACTGCAAACTCCTGAAAAAGAGGATGAAGCTGTGAGTAAAGAATATGTGGATAACTGTGTTCAAGAACTTAAAAATGAAATGAAAACAATTCACAATAATGTCAAAAAGTACCTTAACAATTTATAAAAATTGACTACTAACAATTTCAGGACAATGTATTACTAACATAGTTTTAAGCCAATATTGTTACTAACAACATTACTAACAATATATGGACCATGGTCTGAAATAAAATTATTATTATTATTACACTAAAAAGGTAATCGACCTCATGATTGCATCAAAACGTGCCCAAAATGAGTAAACAAGATATAGTCAATGAGCTTCACAAAGCAGCAAGAAGAAATTTTTCTCGCCAACATACGATTTTTAAAGGAATAGATGATTTATGGCAAGCTAACCTGATTGATTTTCAAAAATATTCAGAGTTTAATAAAGGATATAAATATGTCTAGTAATAATCGATGCTCTAGCAAAATACGTATGGGTTAGCCCATTGAAAACGAAACATAAAAGTTGTGTCAAAAATGCGATGCAAAGTTTATTATCTGAATCAAGACGAAAACCTAAAAATTTACAAACAGATCTTGGTACAGAGTTTTATAACGATTCTTTTAAGAATTTAATGAAAAATTATAATATAAATCATTAATAATAATATTCCACAACTATCACACAACGCCATCTAGTCCCAAGCTAAGCAGAGCTTGTGTTATGGGTACTAGACAACTGATAAACATACTTATATATTTCTAAATACATAAATATTATAGATAAATTACACCCAGACACAGAACAAATGATCGTGCTCATCACACAAACATTTGTCCTGGGTGGGAATCGAACCCACGACCTCCGGCGTAGCAGTCAGGGTCACTAACCACTAGACCAACAGGCCAGTCATATTTATTTATTATTCCACGTACTCCGTTAAAAAGGCCTCCATTGTAGAACGAGTAATAAGAACTATAAAAACTCACCTTTACAAAATATTCAGTCTATGCGGACGATATCAATGGTTCAAAAATAATTTAGATTTTGTTGTAAAGCGGTATAATAATACTTTACATCGCATTACAAAATTCAAGCCTATCAACGTTACTGATTCAAATGAGATTTTAGTTATGTTAAACATCAAGAAGTCTCAAAAGCCTAAGATACGTCAAGGACCGGCGTTTCACGTTGACGATTACGTTCGTATAAGCAAATACAAAGGAGATTTTTACAAAGGTTATACCCCTAATTGGTCTACAGAAATATTTCGTATCGTTAAAGAAGCAAACCAATCCTCAAACCTATCAAATGGAAGACAAACACAATCAAAAAATTCTAGGCTCTTATCTTATAGAAAAAGTCATTAAAAGAAAAGAAAATAAGCTTTAGTAAAATGGTTAGGTTTGAGTGATGAAGAAAATAGTTGGGTGGATAAAAGTGAATTAGTGCTTTAGGTATATAAATAACGTATTATTACTTAATAATCTCATTTTATACTTATCGATGAAGGAAGGCAGTGGTATAATTAATAAAGTAATAGACAATTTATCGTTTGAGTTACATTTACCCGGCTATCAATTTTACGGCCCCTGAACGAAACTTCAAAAACGGTTACTCAAAGGCGATCGTGGGATAAACAAATTGGATGAAGCGTGCATGCTCCATGATATTGCTTACACTAACAAAGATTCGGGCGCTCAACAAAAAGCGGATTTAGAACTTTTGAAAATGTCTAAGAGGAGATTAAAATCAGAAAATTCCTAGCAGGAAAGGAGAAAAAATTGCCTCATGGATAGTCAAAAATGCGATGAAAGCGAAAATCCGGGAGGGGAGCAGTATAAAAGCATTTAAGAAGGGGATAAAAAAAATACAGTCTCAGTTGAAAAAACTAAAAACCAAAGACAGTCCCTCGGCTATAAAATATGCCTATGCAGCTGCAAAGAAAACATTTAGTAATAAAAAAGGAATAAGTTTACCCCGCTGTATTCCTCTTCCAAAGTGTGGACGGTTTTTACCACTTATTCCCATATTTGCAGGATTGTCAGCTTTAGGATCATTAGCCGGTGGAGCAGCGGGTATAGCAAAAGCTGTTAATGATTCAAAAGCAGCACAAAAGAGTCTTCAGGAATCTGAAAGACACAGCAGAATAATGGAAGCCGTTGCTCTAGGAAAAGGATTATATATTAAACCTCATAAACAAGGAGCAGGTTTATATCTTACCCTCTCAAAAAACTAATTAAACGGCTACCCAGACGGGCGCTCACTAATTTCGACATATTTGAACATGCTAGTGACATTCCTTACTTTCGCGGCGTTTTCATGAGAAATAAATTACATTTGAAACCGAGAAAGATAGAATGTGGAATACTGAATTTGGATAGCTACAGAAATCCTGGAACGCATTGGGTAGCCTTTGTAAAGCACAATAAATACGTAGAATATTATGATAGTTTTAGTAATTTAAAGCCCCCGTTAGAATTAGTTAAATATATGCATAACCTATCTATTAACTATAATTATGCGCGACATCAAGCGTTTGGTGCTACAAACTGTGGACATCTTTGTCTAAAATTTTTAAGGAATTACTGGA